GAAAGATTTTCGGTGATACATGTTTGAAGACGTGTTGTATTTAGAATTTCAATCCTATTTTATGTTTAGTGTTGCAAACTTGTATTTGGGATTGTAAACTTTATTTATTTTTGTATTATGCTTTGAATTGTATGGTTGTGTTGTTTATACACTATTGCTATGAGACTCTACCTGCCATATCCCGTGTTTCCGCTTTAGCGGGGTGTGACAAAGAGGCTAACACAATATAATGCACAAGCTGAGAAAACATACCTCTAACATCTTTGTGAACTCTTCTTTTGCTTTTCTCTGCCTCAAGCGCCTCTCTTCAGCCTCCAATTTCTTTCTTTGCATCAGGTACTATGATAACATAACATGAAAAGGATCAAGAAAATTGATCCCCAGAACTTGTCTATACATCTTGAAGCACCAGACAACAAAGTGAAGAAATACACTACGAAGCCAACAATGAAGGTCTACCTCATTGAATGCCTGTTTCCTTTCGCCAAGTGTTTTCAATGCACCATATCTTTTATCATTTATGATCACTCTCATTGCCTAATATGTCAACTTCATCATCAATTACAAGCACCAAAACTTTCAGAAAGAAGATAGAAGCCACTAACAACAATACCTGCTCCCAGTTCCAATCAGCCTCAACATTTGCATCCTCCAATAAGGATTTAAACGCAATTTTTGCCTCCTAAAAACAGAATGATAAGTAAAAATCGAAGAAAACAAACTACTACATGAACAGGCTTAGGGAATATAATAGCATTGTACCTGCTTACTCGCATATATGAAAGGTTCATCATCCACAGCCTTCTCCTCTAATTGTGTCGTGTTCACTTTTCCAGCAACTGCCATTCCCTTCTTTGCTTCCTGTCGCTCAAATCATCCAATTGAGTTGTATGTATATTATTTTTCAAATTAGGAAAGTAAAAGGTTATCAAGTGAAATAATGGCACATGCTTCAGCAAGAAGAAAAAAAGAAACGAATAAACATCAAAACATGGGAGAAGAGAAATTATGTCTTTTAGGGAACAGGCTCAGAATAACAGGTGAGAGATGTACAACCCGGATTCATGGTCCTTCACGTGAAAGCAATTTTGATGAAACAAGGCACGAAATGCTAACTCTCATTACACATTTAATAGGTTATCTTAAAGTGAAACAGTAAATATAAAAAAAAAAAATAGTGACTAAAAAGATGCAATGTTTGGAGCACAGACAGGCCAGTAACTATACAGGTTCTCAAATAAAGAAGAAATTTAACTGCTCATACCTCAGTGTCTTGTGCAGACACTTCCACAGCTTTGGGAACACCATGTGAAGATGAATTCTCTGTGCTGGTCCTGAACTTTTACATTTTTCAACATTATACAAGACCACAGAATACTAATATTATAATTCCATGAGGGATCAAAAAGTATTACATTGGAGAAACCATAGAAGCACCACCAACCGCTGGAATAAGAGGGACCGCAGTGACTCTTTCTCCAGCAGCAGTAGATGATGATTCAGACCCCACATTAGGGGGAACATTGCCGACAGGAATAACAGGTGCAACTGCTACAGGGCTTGAAGCTACTCTGGGTGCTGTTGAAGAAACGTCATTAACTGAGCTGGCAGAAGCTGAAGGTCGATCAAGTGCAGAGGGTGTTAAAACGGCTGAAGCATTGGGATTAGTCGCCATCTCAGATTGAGTCCCTCTAGAAGCTTCTTTCTCAGCCTCCTCACGAGCCAACTGCATACAAGAACACAATTTCAGGGCAGAGCCAAAAGGGACCACCTTTCTTTCTTTTTGTTCTGATAGAGTAAGAATAGCAAGGTAATAAGTTATTATTGAAACCTTCAATTCCTCAGGTATTGTCCATTTAGATTGCTTTGTATCCTTGTTATAATAATATCTGCACAGTACAAACTACATTAACATGAAAACAGTTGGAAACTCTAAGAGATTAAGAGCAAGGCTAGGCGTACTTTTTACCCTCTGCAGTTGTGAACTCTTTCCAAACAGTGGAGGCATCAGCCCTCTGCCACACCAAATAATGACAAACATATTAAGCACGTATGGAAGGTGAGGAGGTCAGGGGTTACCCGTAGAGCCCAGCCTCCCAGCGGGTCAACGGTTCAAACCTCATCAAAGATGAGGAGTGTGCGTGAGTATTTAACATATATAAATGTTATATACTTCAAAACAGAAACAAAAAAATTTAATGGTAGTATTACAACATCAGGTTGCTTCACAAAATCCATATGCAACACAAGTCGTGTACGCAAATTTATTTATTGCACAGAAAATGTAGAAGAATTACAACCAAGTTTTCATTTACAATGGTAAGAGTCACTCACTCAAGTTGTTTAATTCAAGAACGAGGAGTCAAATACAAGTGCTTTTTTAAGCACATATCAAGAAACCGGACAGAAATGCTTCAAACGGAAAGCATAGATAACAAAAAGCACAATTCTGTTTCCAAAAAAACTATTCATTTTCATGTTCGCTTAGCATCATCGCCACCCTGGCAATGAGAGGGTCATAGCAAGAGACAATCAGACAACACAGATTCTTAAACATCAAAAGTACCATAAGACGAAGAAATAAGCCCAGATAAATGGAAATCCATTTATAGTGGAACAATGCAGACCTTGTAAGTAGTTATCAGCAGAAAATTTTTATTCTAATTTGTAACACAACTGTATTAGAGATTATCTCTATCTTTTGTAATAAAATTGCAGGATTTCACTGTACTATATAAGAATGAGAAACACATGAAGTGGTGTATATAGCCTACAATATGTGAAACCATCCAGTTATTTGCTTCAATGGTGATACAGTTAAATTAGCAAAGATATCCAGTTATTTGCTTCAATGGTGATACAGTTAAATTAGCAAAGATATCCAGTTATTTGCTTCAATGGTGATACAGTTAAATTAGCAAAGATACACACCTTGGAGAATCCATAAAACAGAGTTTGTCTAGAAGGTCAAAACAGTAAATAAAATATATCTATGCATTTGGTTCTTCACAAGTATCGAACTCACATGTGAAATAGTGTATGAAACTAGACTAGTTATATGAAATGACTGGTCCTTCTCTTCACCAGCTACACGGTTAATAATTTAAGGATGTGCGGGGCTGCACATGGGTTGGATTGGCCGGGTTGAAGGCATTCGAACAACCCAACCCAATATTTGTGGTTTGAAAAATCTCAACCCAACCCAACCCAAATCATGCGGATTGGGTTGGGTTGGTCGCGTTGAAACTTTGATATATCATTTTGCAATCTAGCTAATGGTTTATGTTTAAAAGAAGTAAAATAAAAATAAGAACATACAAAACAGGCTAACAAACTCAAAAGAAGTTGAAGGTTCATGTGAATAAGAAAGTAAAATTATGGTTGAAATTGTAATATAATTTTGAATATAGCTAACTACGGGTTTGTCTAATGTCTACTGCACATATATTAGTCAATAACTTAACAATCATATTGAACTCATAATATTCATAATATAGAAAGGCATATCGGGTTGGGTTGGGTTCAAATTACCCTAACCCATTTCCAACCCAATAGATGCAGTTTGGCCTAATTTTGTATCAGCTATGTGTCGGGTTACCTCAGGTTGAGTTTTTTTAGGTTTTTTCGGGTTGGGTTGGCCGGGTTGGTCGGTATTTTGAGCACCCTTGTGCCCCTTGGTTCATTCACAAAATTAAATATTTACAAAAAGAACAAAACAAAGAAAAAGATGCATTCAATTTGTTGAGTATATGTGCCACAAACAAAGCATGTCCAACAGGGGGAAAGCCAGTGAATGCAATACAAACCCCCCCTTCCCGCCCAGATTGGTCTTTAGCCTGTACGTGTGGTTAACTTGCAGTCCACTTATGAGATGTTTGGATCATTGGATGTGCAACTAAAGTGATTATTATGACTTGCAATTGCAATAGTCTGTTTTCTGTGTATAGGAGAACTGATTCTGATGTAGGAACAAAATGATCGGATTTGAAGCAGCAAGTATGGAACTGATGTGAGAAAATTGGTGGATGAAATAAATGTAAAATTACCCAACCATCACTAACTTTAATCAATTGATTATCTAACTTTGATTCTTAAAGACACAAGAATCATTTTAAAAACACACATCTAAACACCACCTTATAAATAAAGCACTTTGAGTGTAGACTAATCATTTCTATCATAAGAAAGTCAAAGAATATATTTAAATGGAGAAGCTGTTTAATGTATGTGCAGTAGACCAAACAAGACTTTGGAAGAAGAAGATGCCATTATTAAAAATACTCAATTTTACAACAGCCACAGATGGCTCGGGTAGAAGCCAACGACCAACAGCCAACATAGGCTGCTTTAAATTCAGAAAGAAGCTCATTTTCCTAGCTTAATTACAAGCAAGCTGAGGATAAGCCACTAAATCAGAACATACATACAGAACAAATTGCTTACTTAAGCAGACACAACTTAAAACGAAATCATGAAATAGAAAACTAAGCTAAGAAAACAGACCGGAATAGTTACAAAATTTCTAAGATTAAATAGACGTAATCAGAAAGGAAAAGTCTAAAAAAACCCATTGGACTTTAGTATTTAGAATGATTAAGTCCTTGGACAATTTTTTGGAACAAATAAGTCATTGGACATTCTAAAACCTGTTAAACAACTCCTTGGACTTTCTAAAACCTATTATATACATCCTTATGACCTATAAAACTAAGGGAAAAGTCCAAAAAAACCCAATGGACTTTAGTGTTTGGAATGATTAAGTCCTTGGACAATTTTTTGGAACAAATAAATCCTTGGACATTCCAAAACATGTTAAACAACTCCTTGAACTTTCTAAAACCTGTTAGATACATTTTTATGACCTATACAACTGGTTAATGTGCAAAATAATGGAAAAAGTCTGGAAAAAACCCAATGAACATTCATATTTCGAACGATTAAGTTCCTAAATATTTTTTGAACCAAAAAAAAATTATATATATATATATATATATATCACATATGTGGTTTTTTAAATTAAAAAAAAGATTTAAAAAGATTACTAAAAATAAATTTCATCAGTAATCATTTTTAAACTTTTTTTTATTTTTTTATAATTTAAAAAATCATATACGAAATATATTTTATTTTTAATTTAAAATAAATATAATCAGTAATCCTTTTTAAATCTTTTTTTATTTGAAAAATCACTGACATAATATCTTTTATTTTTAATTAAAATAATTTTCATCAATAATCTTTTATAAATGTAAGTAGTTTTTTGGTATATTTGTTTATTTTATATAATTTAAGTATTTTTTTTTTGTTCAAAAAATGTTAGAAACTTTATCGTTCAAAATATGAATGTTCATTGGCTTTTTTTCATGCTTTTTTTCAAAAATCTTTTCTGGCTTTTTTTCAAAAATCTTTTTTAAATGTAATTTTTTTTTGTAAATGTAAGTACTTTTTTATTATATTTGTTTAATTTTATAGATCTAAATACTTTTTGGTTCAAAAAATGTTTAAGAACTTAATCGTTCGAAATATGAATGTTCATTGGGTTTTTTTGGGACTTTTTTCTTTATTTTACCACATTAACCAGTTGTATAGGTCATAAGAATGTATCTAACAGGTTTTAGAAAGTCCAAAGAGTTATTTAACATGTTTTGGAATGTCCAAGGATTTATTTGTTCCAAAAAATTGTCCAAGGACTTAATCATTCCAAACACTAAAGTCCAATGGGTTTTTTTGGACTTTTCCCTAATCAGAATGAGATCCACTCTTAAGAGAATGACATACACTGCTCAGTTGAACAAATTAGAACAAATAGCTAACTGAGATCATACAACATATACAATAAACCGCAATATCAAACCATTGCTAATATTAGCATATATCAATAAGCTGAGCACACATAAGCATGTTCAAGTACCGATAAGATTGATTGAATCCTCAATAAAAGCAAGTATAGAAAATAAACAAAGGAAATTCCAGTACCATTTGTTAAGGAATCTGTAATACAACTGAAGCACAGATATAAGTTAATTTGCAACCAGATTATGCGTCAACCATAATGAAGTAAAGCCATGCTGTAAGGGCCCAACCCAACAAAAATATCTTACGTACTCCCTCCATGCCTCCATTCCCCAAATAAGCACCTTGCCTTCACTGTCAGGATGTAGCCAAGCCCTCATTCCAAATTAGAGCATATTCTTAATATCCGAAAATAGCAAATTCAAATATTCAAAAATTATTAAGATCTTATTTCTTAACTTCCTATATTTCTCTATAAGGTTTTCTGGACCCGACAGAATCTAATTTTGGTCATTGAACTTGTTTTAATTTTATGCACACACTCTACCTTAAGATTCATAAAGCTTATATCCAGAGTCCATTAAGCAATCATATGGATATATTTTTCTTAGTAAAATTTTGCTGAAAGCACGAATTTGAAACCACCTTAATTTACTAGAAGACTGTGGGAATACTGCTTATTGGCTACAGCAATTCACTATGAATGAGCAGGCAGCAGAACCTATTTTATTTTAGCGGCAGTGGAAACAATACACAGTCTGATAAAATAGCCAGCAAATTAACAGCCTATAAGACCATTCTAACAACGATGAAAATAGCCAGAGACGTAAGGTAGTTGTCAAGTATCAATCGCAGCATTAAATTAAATAATTACATGGGCAATGGTCCTATATGTAGTAAAACACTAACATAACAAGTTGTTGCCTGCCCTGAGGAAATGAAACCGCCTTCAAAATGAGCATATAGAGCAGTTTCCTTCAAATTCCGGTGACATCTACAAACAAATGGAACATGCAAAGAGAAGGAGAACACATATAACTCAAACTTGATCAATTCCCGTATGACAAGAAGTTTAAACAAAGACATGCTTTGCAAGTAAAATTAGGCATCATTAAACTACAAAAGAGCAACACCTCAACTACATGCACTTACCTCCAGAGGGGTCATCAACTCCAAAGGCTTCTCCCAGGAAGATTGTTTTGTTCTCTTGTTGTAATAATATCTGCAGAGGTATGCAAAAAAAGACAGGAATTAACATCTTATATAATAGGTGATCTGGTTCTAAGCAGTACAACACAAAAGTGAGGCACGACATAGAGTTTGATGTGGCACCATTATACTATATATGTATATATACATGAAACACGTACCTTCTTCCATCACCAGCTGTATACTCCTGCCAATCAGATGATGCATCTTGACTAGTATTGGAAACATTTGATGCCTGCTATGGAGACAAACAAAAATATTTATCTCAAACGAATAAGTAATGTGTAAAACCATTTAAAGGGTTGTTTGGTTTTCCATTGTGTTCTGTATGGATAAAGCTGTCTCTGTGGATTAATCTGCTTGTATACATTGGGAAGTTTTTGTTTGAGAGGGTTTTTTCATAGCTGGAATGAGCGTGTTCTTTAATCAGGAGGGGAAAGTTGGGAAAAAACAAACTTCGCTTTCTGCATAAGTACCGTAGAAGCTTACTGAATAAGACACTTTCTATATCATTAAGCCACTACCAAACAGTCATGTATTACTGACCAAGTAAGCTGTGAGTCCCATTAAGCTCATTAAGATGCTACAAACAGGCCCTAAGTTAGGCGTCATCGATTGGGTAAGTAATTAGTAGTTTTCCATTTGAATGAAGCATCATTTGCTGCTTTAACATGATTATAAATTTACATGGTTCCAGTAGTCAGCCCGGCCATCAAGCTTGAAAGGTCCAGTAGTACATGTAATATCGAGCATGCTGCATCCTCATCCATCCAATCACACTATTTACTTAACCACATACAATTTAATGTTTGATAGAACTTGGCACAAGTTAAACATCATGTTCAACTTTTGTACATGTTCAGTTCTAAATATTAAGAATCCTAATGAAGAAAGATATACGACGATCACTTATCCACACTCAGGCTTTCTTGAAATGGGTATGGTAACAAGCAAAAACATATTATACTAGGATTTTTCATGAACATAGCAAGGAAATGAACCTTGAAACGGGTGTGGAACTTCGAAGGTATATCTTACGCAGTTACACATGAACAATAGCTAGAGCAAAAACTTTTCTAAGTGAGAGCATCTACATGTTTTTGTACTTAATCAGGATACCATAATTTAAGGCATATCAGATAAGGTAAAGCCGTAGTTAAATATGGTAGACACCAAGGAACAAAAAAAGGACTGGATTTATGATGTACATCATGTCTACACAAAGCACAGGAAATATTGGAACTCTTAACTAATAAGGTTAAGGAACTTTCTTTTTTAAACATGAAGAATAGTTACTTAAGGGAAGAGCCTTGTAGAAACATGTAAGGTTACACTTTGTGACCAGAAGGTTGCAGGTTCAAGACGTAAAGATAGACTCTTACTATTTTGGAAATGCTAGTCACAAAGCCAGTCAGATACAGCTTACCACATTTATTGGTTCAGAAACCAAGCGGCTCGCTGTCTTTTGCATATGCTATTCATGTGTTGCTATTTGGTACGTGGAAGGTTGCCTCAGAAAGTCAAGGAGCCTTGGCAACGAGTGCGAAGACAAAATACTTAAAACCACTTTAGAAAAACCCTTATAATTTCCCCACTCCTTTAAGGGGCCACACACATAGTCTTGGTTGGTCCATCTTACCTCCTCTTTCTTCTCCCACGATTTTCTTTTTTAAAATTGTGATAACTTAGGGATCTATTAAAAAAAAATAATAACCCAAGTGGTTTACGTATCGGTTACATCTGCAAAACAACCTATCTTGACCTAGGCAAGCCTAAAAAACTAGCACCTTTTGCCCTTGGCACATAAAAATCATCTAACACAAAAGCCATAACTCTCCTAGCATCTAAAGAATGGACATGTGTGCCAAGCACATTTGAAAGCCATGCTCAAAACTTACAACTATAAAACCCAATTTTAAGTGAAACAAGCAGGTGTCATTTTGAAGACAGAATTAGGAGTTACCCATCTCGATTTCAAACCCTACAGCACAGAACCGAGTCTTTAACATGTCGAGGTTCCCTCTCAACCAATGGTACCTGAACTTCTTACACAGACAGGTTTCATCAAAGATATCCACAGCACTTCATCTCCTAGACAATACATTGATCATAATTTAAGGATCTAGTGTCCCTATAATATCTTTCGAACACCGCTATAGTGTCTTAAGCGGACTACCTCAACCATGTTTGTCACTAACCAAGAAAGAGGAATGAGGAACCCCACATGAGCTTCAAGTAATTTACTCATTAGTAGTGGATAATCCCTAAGAGGAATCGGCAAGAAAATGAATATTAAACATAAATACCTGATTTGTGGGAGTGGTTGTTGAAGGCTGTTGTCCAGTTTGCGGCACCGATGAAACAGTTAGTGGACCTTGATTTCCAGAAGACAGCCAAGGTTGTCCTCCTGTTGAGGCACCAGGTGTGTGCATCTGTGACACAGTATGAAACTGAGATGACACATTTGTTGCATTTTGTGGCTGCCCAAATGACGGTGCAGTGAACTGAGACAAGAGAATAATTATATAGATTCTGAAGGGCAACATACTCAAACACATGAACAGAGAGGAGAGGGGGGCTTACAGTATAAGAAGAAGATAGAGGTACTCCAGGGCCACCCAAACTAGGCACATGACTGTTTGTAGTGGCAGAGTTCTGAAACTGTGGTGAACTAGATGTGAAAGTCATGTTTGGCTGCATATAAGGCATGGGCATTGCTTGTGATGATGGAGAAGGGTGGCCAGGCTGACCTGGCCTTGAAGACATCTGCATCGGCTGTGAAAACTGTGGCAGCTGAGTTTGACCAGGCATGCCTTGTCCCACTGCACGATATTGCTGGGTGCCTGAAGCTGACTGCATGAATGGTTGTCCTTGTTGTGCTGGAACAACAGGCCGGAACTGCAGCAACATAATGAACTTAATATCCCACAGTATATCTATAAATAATCTATAAAAAAGAATCAACGAACCAGGGAAGTAGAAGCATACTTGCATTGAAAAGTTTGTTCCAAAACTTTGAGATCCAATGGATCCAATTGCAGGTGGCCGCAGAGACTAAAAGAACAAACGAGGTGGGGGAGCAACATATTTTTGAGTCAAAACATATGTCATAATATAGTATGGCATTCCATTTCCAGGCTCTAAATATACAAAACAGGGACAAGTATAAAATTCCAATTATCAGTTGTTAGGAAAGAAAAAAATGTTAGGTCAAGTTGAAGTGTCGGATTCTCTGATTCCCAGTAAAAGGAGAACGAATCAAGAACCTGTAGACGGTTGTGTGATGAGTGATAAAATCACAACCAAAAGCTCCTTATTTCTACCTCCTTAACCACTGGTGCATACCCAAAGCTATAACCAACACCTGAATCTATCAAATGAATAACATCTGACACTCATTCTAACATGAGACACCAATAAAATGTGGCTAATATGTTATATTACTTCTCATTGGGTTTTGGACAGGCTTCAATACTCTAAAAAAAGTTAGCAAGAGGCAACATCGGCTACTTCTCCAATTGTTCCGGATATAAATGTTCTATATGAGAACAAATGATCAGGTAGTTATTACTAAGGGGCTGTTTGATTGTTTTTCTATCAACTGCTGTATGGATTAAGTTGTCTATATAGACGATGTTGTCAACATAAATTAAGCTAAATTGTTGTTTGTTTGGTATGCTAAATAAAATGTCTGAATGACAAACTGACCAATTTACCCCTTATTGGTTTTTGTTTTGTCTTTTTTCATTAAGCTCCTGGTTCTTTTTCCTAAGGTTTGACGACGAAATTGATCAACCAACAATAAAACCCTTATAAATCATCAACCAACCATAACAATAAATTCTTAATTATTATTTTGATGTCATAATATCTAATTAGAATTTAGAGAATGAGGATTAGAAAAACCCAAATGCAACCCAAATATAACCCCTCTCATAATTTCAGCAATTCTCTTCACTCTCACTTTCATGCTCTGCAAATTTTCCAAAGGAACCACCACTTCCATCTCCATCAAGGGAGGGAGCAGTGGAGAGAGATCAATGGGTTTTTTTCTTCTCTGTCTGTGAAGTGACCGGGAAGGGCATTTTAGGCAAGGATGTGGATGAATGAATTAAGCTAGGAGAAGAGAGCTGATCAATAGCTATATCATTAGGTCAATTCCAAACACCAATAAATGGCTTACCGAATAAGTCATATATTTCATTAAGCTGACTACGGGTTGTTTGGTTAGTTTTCAATTATTTCCTGCATGGATAAAACTGCCTATATAATTAGGAAGGTTTTTGTTCGGGGAGATTTTTTAATAGAGGAAAAGAGCATGTTTTTTAATTAGGAGGGGCAGGTTTGGAAAAATTGGCTTTCTGCATAAAATGCCACCCTAGAAGCTTACTGAATAGTACAATTTTTGGCTGATATAGGGTTTCTATATCATTAAGTCATTACCAGTCATGCATAGTTAACCGAATATAAATTGTGTCTCATTAAGGTCATTAGTTGCAAACAAACAGGCCTCCAAAGACCCCTACGCCACAATAAGTTGGAACAAGCTGAAGAGAATATACAACTAAATATCAACACCTTCGAAGATACAGTTCCTATTTCAATGCTTACTCATAGACCTGAAATATAGGCCACATATCTGAATGGACATATCCGGATATCCCCAAACAGCATTTTTGTATGCCATGCCCCCATATGATTGTTTATAAGGGCTATTGGCTACCATCCAATGTAAAATTAGCAATACTTGTTTTATCAACATAAAGATGCATAAACTGAAGAATCAAAATGAGAAGGTAAATAATTCATGTTAAAAGGGGCGGGTATTAAAAATTAATAATGAAGTAGTAAGTGTGCCCCTTTTTGTGAAGTAGCAAAAAAAAGAAAATACAAATCTTCTACTGCATCATGACGATCCTTAATTCATATTCTCATTGGTATAAAGATGAAGACATGTTCCAAAAGATGCCAGGAAATAAAACAAATGAGCCAACGTTTGCACTTAAGTGATACTATTAGCAAAATCCGAATGGAATAAGCCCAATAGCCCACAAGCTAAACATATGTGTTGTTAATGTTCAGCACATGAGCACATCAAGGTATCAAGCTTCATTGTTGAGACATAAATAAGCACAAGCTCCTTGTTAGATCATGGTTCATTTCGTATATTGGAATCTAGTTTGAGTGAATTCACCAATCATCTTCAATTGTAACACAAGCTTCAAATGTTTCAAAGTGGTTCTACATGTACTGAAAACAATTGTAAGCACACGGATACTTTTAATTTATTTATCAAATGATACAATCAGATTGTCTGAATAGCAGAAGAGGGGGGTACTCGCAAGTAACTAGTATCACAGATGAGTTGATGGTGATGATCGTTTTACAAAGTCTGCAACTCAAGAATCTAGAACAAAGCTTGGTCATAGGAAGAATCATTTGAAAGGTTTTGTATGTCTTGAGAGTATCTAATATGTATTTTTTACTAGACAGCCTAAACTTCATTTGTTTAGCTAATGGTGACTGTTTCTAAGTATTACATAACCCAATCAATGAAATTTCATACTTGACTTCCCATAGTCTTTGAAGATAAGCAAACTAAGAACCAGTCCAATAACCAAAAGAAAAAAAAAGTCATGAAACCACACAAAATCAGATAAAAAGTGATGAAGGAACCTGTCAGTGTCACAAGAAGATAAGAACATAAGGAAAAAGGTAAGGGGAGAGTGAGGGGGTTTGTTGATTTTGACCACCATGGGGATGATAAGAGAAACACCAACATGGACATGATAAGAAAAACCACCACCAAGGGGCTGATAAGAGAAACCCATGTTGGAGCCATTAGACAATATGCACAAGGTTTGCTAGAACTCTAGGATTAAAATACCCATTTGTTTCGTCTTAAAGAATCATAAGGCATGATTCAATGTGCCAATAAGGGGGAAAGTCAATATTCTGATTCATTACTGATCTGAGCTGTTTTATCATGATTCAAACCTAGTGATTATCGAATCATGGATCATGTTATTTTCAGACGTTGCAACCACGGTAGTTTGTAGCCTAATCCAATTCAACAAGGTATCTATCCTGACAGTACGCAAAATGCAACCCTTAAAGGCATTCTTATGTTCTTGGTGAAGTATGAGTTTGTATCTATCTACCAGTAAAGTAAGAAAAACATACATAGTGGGATGAATGGTTTTCTATCTTACATTATGTTGCATTATAAAAGTATGTAAATTTGTACTTTAATGTCTTAAGAGTAGGTAAGATCTTTTAACTGAGAAAATCTTAACTTCATGTAGCATGCCCCCGCACCCTCCCTGTGTCTAAAACCCTAAAAGACTGTTCTGCGTGCGGTTACAGCTCCATCAATCAAGAATTACAGTAAAGAGCGGTATAGAAATAAAGATACAGATAAAAGAAATTAGGGTTTAGTCAAGTGTGTGTTGCAAAATAAAGTACTGAAAATCAAGATTACCTGTGAACCAGGATTCTGAGGGTTATTATCCATCGTATCACATAAGCAAGAAAAGAATAAACCCTAATCGAGTGAACAATCCTTGTCGTGATGTTTGATTGAAGGAGCCGTTGGGCATTTGGTGCGAGACCTAGCCCCCGATTATATACGACCTTCCCACGATTTCAGTTTTGCTCTCTTTACAATAAACAAACATTAATCGGCATGGGTGGGTTTATACCTCCCGGATACAAATAAAATACAACATTCGTATCATATCGTAGCGATCGTTGTATTTCGTTCTATTTCAATCTAGGTCATTAATCATACTATTTTGTAAGAATTTTACCTTTAATTAATTATTCATTAAAAAGGTAATTATATCTTTTTGGTTTTTCTATTTTTTAATAAAAGAAACAGATGTCTATTTTAATGGACGATTTTATCTGATTTATTATTTTTTTAAGTCAGAAAATTATCTTTGTACGTATCAAAAACAGTTTTTATCTAAATCCTTTTCATATGCAAAACAAATTTGATTCAAAAAACCTTGTCCAGCCATCTTATATGTTTCCTATAAAATATATTTTCATATCTACATCATAATTTCATATGAAGAATTAATTTTCAAGTATGCATCTAATTTTTATATGAATATCACTTCCATATGCGAGACATATTTGGTTCAAACAACCTTACCTAGTCATCTTATATGTTTCCTATGAAATATACATTCATATAAAAACAACGGTAATTTTCACACATGCACCTAAGGGGGCGTTTGGTTCGTAGAATGGAATTCGATGAAATTGGAATTCATCAAATGAATTTGACTTT